CGACCGCAGAAGCCGCCTCCACCTGGTCCATAGCTCCTGTAGCTGCAGCAGCTGCCTCCCCCTGGTCCGGAGCTCCAGCTGCCGCAGCAGCCTCCGCCTGTGTTTGAGCAGGTCAGCCGGACTGCCAACGCTACTATAAACCTTGTTCCCCAGTGGGTCACCGAGGTTGATGCTTCTGCAGTTCCTGTTTCTTTGTGGGTTGACAATGCCTCAGCTATCACCTCTGGCCAACCTCTCCAGCTCTCTGGCAGGCGTCGCAGACGACCCCCAGATCGGTTACCTCTCCAGTTCCCTGTCCGGTGCCGCAGCCATCCTCCAGAGCGGCCTCCTAGGTCTCCTGCCAGATCCTGCGGTCATCCTCCTGCATGGCCTTTTTGACTGCCCACCTGGCTTCGAAGGTGCCCACTCAAGCAGTCTCTCCAGTGGCCTGTCTTGACTCGAGGCCGAACCCCCGAGCGGTCTTGACGAACTCCTGCCTATTATTTAATTATTTTGTCATTGGATCAATAGATGCTGATCTAATTAATATGAATTTTCTTTGACTTACATATAACAAAAAAATGAATTATTTAAAGGAATCATCCTGTGCAAATGTGCAAAACATGAGAAATGAGCAGTTACTGCCTCTTTTGCTTTTTTTGCATTTGTAAAAACCTGTGCTTGAACACATTGTTCAGATTTGTCTCTCTTTATGTCATACAAAATGATGTGGCAGTTTATTTGCATAGATCCTCCTCTGACTCAGAGCCATTTTGGTGCTACCAGTCCACCACTGTGATTTTCTCAGTGGCACAGCTCAGAGGAAGGCGTGGATTCTGGTCGGATGTTGGTTGGTGTTTAAAACATTTGCCAATAAAAAAAAACTCACCCTAATAATGTTTCCTACAATGATTATTTCCTTCTTCCAAAAAGTAAATAACCCAATAGATAATTACCTATTTTTGGGACTGTGTCCAGCTGTTAGGAGGTGGAAAAACATGCCTGTCACATGATTGACCTTGTCTATTATGAGCTATGGGGTGGAACCACACCTCCGAGGTTGCCCTCGGACCCATTCAAGAGAGCATTTTGCTTGTAGCAGCCGCGAGGTTGACAGCTGATTGACCACCGTGTGGAGGGGGTTAAAGAAAAAATACATCGCTGATGGATGACGCTACCCCGGGTGCTCTGCCTCAGCAAGTTGCTGCTTCACCACATGATTTCTGGGACTACTGCAGCCTGAAGGGCTAGTTGGAGGCCTATGACTAAACCTCACGTAATATTCTACAGCCCAAAGAGAAGACCATGGCGGTCATGGGAGGCTTTGGTCAAATATTTTTTGCCGGACTTATTCTACACTACCTGTTGGATTTAATTTGTAACAGCAAGTTTTTTTAAAAACATGCTGCAACACCCTCATAAATGAATATTATTCAAAACTCCACAGATTATTTTATTCCCACACTGTTCTCACAATTTGAATCATGTCTCCACCTGACCTATCAAAGATTCATTAAAAAAATTTCTATAAAACATTTGAACTGCCCTAATAATTTTCCAACTGAGATTATTTCCTTGTTTCAAAAATTAAATAACACAATAAATAATTGTTTACTACATACATTTTCAGGCCAGATCTTGTTGTCAGGAGGTGAAAAACATGCCTGTCATGATTTACTCTGCCTATTGTGAGCTATGAGGCAGAGCCACAGCTCTGAGGTTGACCCTTGGGCCCTGACCTTGTGCTGATTTTGCCTGTGGAGCCTAGGAGGTGGCAGCTGGAGTGGGTGAAAGAAAAGGGATTACACTGCCAATAGATAATGCAAAGCCTGGTGCCCCAATACAGCAAACCACTGCTTTACCACATAACCACCCAGCACCCCCACATGAAGGACTATATGGAGACCTGTGACCATGCCACATGTAAAATGCCAGGGACACGGGGGAATTTTTAACTATGCATGTTTTATGTGATTTTTAGATAAAAAAGGTTTCTGAAAATATTTAATTATAGAATCAGATTGTTTTGTTCTTATACTAAACCCCTAACTGTTCTGACAAATTAATGTTTTATTTTTAAACTATGACTTGTATGTATGTTTTTTCTGGTTAAAAAGTGTTTCAAATTTTATTTAATTTGTTGGAGATTATGCTGTGCTCAGTGTATCTAATCATAACTGGGGGAAACATTTGCTTTTATTCCCAAAATTCATAACTCTTCAGTTAGGTTCCTACTGTAAAGATGCGGGGGGGTTAACAGGTTACAATCTGGTTGTAAAGAAAATCAATAAAACCATAAATTATAGTCTGGAGGTTAAATAAGTGTGAAAACCAGCAGGAAGTAATAAAATTGTATAGCCTTTGAACTACCCCAGTAATTAAGGTCATAAATCACCTGCAGGTGTGAAAACTTCTGAAAGGCAGAAGAGGTGGCTGGGGGGGGGTTCCAGAATAGAAGCGCCTGGGGCTTACAAATCATAAATCAATCATTTCACATCTTGTTTGATGGGGCATTTCATATCTCCCTCACCACTGTTGTCCAAAAACTATACAGATATTACAGTGAATGCTAGAAATTCATTGTTGATTTTCGTCCCTCTATGGGATTTGTGGGAAATAACCAGCATTATCCTTGAAAGCAGATCACAGCAAAGTCTAGTGACAGTTTAGACATAGTGGAAGTCAAAATGTTAGAAGTGAGGGCAGGCATGACTGTGAGCAGTACAGTATGTACTGATGTGCTGTATATTCTGTACAAAGTGATACAACAGTGATACAAGTCTAACAGTCACTGTTCCCTTGTTCCAGTTCTTCCACCTGGCATTGCCTTCACTGTGCCAAAGTCAACTCTATCCAGGAAATGCGGTGTGAGGAGTGTGAGCGCCCTCACTTGGAATCCATCAGCTCTAAAGCAGATGAATCTAAGCCTGCCACTATCACTGGTCTGTGCTCTCTCTCAATCCATTTAACAGCCTCAGTAATCCCACCTCCTTCTATTTACCACTTTCTGAATCACTCCTTAATATACTGTTACTGCTGTTGTTTTGCAGAATGCTGCTGACTTAAAACAGTTAATTATATATTCACTGAAGTATTCATTGTATTCCTTATCATGATCATTGTTACTGTGTAGTAGTGATTGATTATAATATATCATGCAATGGTAATATCTTTATTTTAAGCCCAAGTATGGCCTCAACAATCAGTGTTTATGTGAATGTGGACCCCTAGACCTTGTTTGATTCAGGCCATGTTGCAGACCTCTAGGGTCTGCCTTAATTCCTTCACTTAGGCTTATACTGTGAAACACTTATGTGATGTGTTGTTTCATTAACCAACATTAAATCAAGAATCAGTGTATGTATGCATCATTTTTTTCTGCTCTATTTTAACAGTATGGACTAGGTCATTATTTGAATACTACATTTACAGTACTCTTTTTTACCCAGTAACCAAATATTATTTACTTTATAAGACAACAGCGATTAATAATGAGAATAGAATGAACTGGTGTGTGTTCTTCTCAGAATGGCAGTGTAAGAGCTGTACCATGGTGAATACAGCCAGTAGCATTCTGTGTGAGGTGTGCGAAAGACCTCGTTTGGCTACACGACCTCCAATAACCCCATCACACCCACCCATCACTCCCCCAAGACCACCAGCGCCAGTCCTGGGCATGCCCGGAGATCCGGACAGCCAGGTCAGTTAACTGTCTGTGTATGTGTGTAACTTGGTATTAGTCATGTTGTGGGGACATAAATCTGTTTACACAGCCACATTGTGGGTACTCAATGTCTGTATGGGGAGCAAAAAGCAAGTCCCCAAAACATAAATCATTACATTTTAGAGTGATGACTTGGTTTAAGGTCAGAGTAAGGTTAGGGTTTGGTTAAGGGTTAGGATTAGGTGAGTAGTGGTCATGGTTAAGGTTAGGTGTTAGTCTCTAGGAGAATATGTGTGTGTGTGTATACCTTTCTCTTACTTACATTATGGGGACCGAAACCTGTTAACGCACTCACATTGTTGGGACTCGGCTTTGTTGTTGAGTTGTCGTAGATATGCTTAATGAGCCGGTGATATTTCTCATTAGTTTGACAAGGCAAAACAGCATAAGCTTCCTTGCTGTGTGTAGGCTTGTGGAGGTGTTGGAGTTTGAGTTCATTCATTTTCTACCGCTTAGTCCCTGAACGGGGTTACGGGGGGGGGGCAGCAGGGGCCAATCCCGGCCTCGAATGGGCGGGGGCGAAGGCGGGGTACACAGGTCGCCAATCCATCGCAGGGCTAACACAGACAAACAACCACACACGCACACTCCTATAGGCAATTTAGAGACACCAATCAACCTAAGCTGCATGTCTTTGGACTGTGGATGGAAGCTGGAGTACCCAGAGAGAACCCACGCAAGCACAGGGAGAACATGCGAACTCCACACAAAAAGGTCCCCGGTGGGGCCCGAACCCGGAACCTTCTCACTATGAGGCAATGGGGCTAACCACTGCGCCACCATGCTGAGTTTGAGTTCAAACTTTTGAAATTTAAGTTTGGATTATTTGTTTTGTTTAATTTAGCTGATTTAATATGTGACTAAGTTTGCCCATGACCCATGGTGTGCAGTTAGAGACAGAGACATTTGCAGAATATGTTTAGACTTATGTATAGTTTTGAATTTTTTATTTAACTTGGCTTTATTTGGCCATATGCTAGTAACCATTTTACAAAGGAGCCCTGGAGTTTGACTCTGACTCATTGTCTCTCTCTCTCTTTTCCTCTCTCTCTGTGTGTGACCAGTGGGTCTGTCAGTTCTGTACCTATCTAAACTACTCTCCCACTACAGTGTGTGAGATGTGTGACCTGGCTCGCCCAGAGCCTGCACCTTTGTCTGTGAAGCTTCGCCCTCCATCTCCCGTCAGACGGGTCCCCGCCCTGCCAATCAAACCCAAAGAACCCCCTCTTGAAGACCTGGACTCCTGGAGGCAGAAACTCATGAAGGAAGAGGGGCTGAAGCTGATTCAACAGATAAGAGCATGTGACCTTCATCACCTGTTATTATCCTGGGATTTTGGATACACTGAGTGTCTATATTCTAATGTATCTTTCTTTATGTCTTTGTCAGGATGGGGAGAAGAAAGGACTGAGTCCAGAAGAGGTGTACACAAGCATGAGGGTAGCTGGGGATAGGAACATCGTGCCCTGCAAGTGGTTAAAGACTGAGATTCCTTTGTTGTTAGACCAGATCCGGATGTTGGTGGCAACATTCTCCCTTCAGTATTTTTCTGACAAGACCACAACAGTCAGTATGCTCAGAAAAAAGCTATTTAATCCTGACAAATTATGTATTTATGTTAATCTAACTCTTACTGTCAGTAGTGTTTTCTGTTAGTGACTGACTTTCCTTTAACACAGAACAGGGCTTGTGAGACTCCTCCTGTGGAAGCTGAGAAAAAAGTGGAATCTGCAGAAACGGAAAGTGTGGTCCAGTTGTCCAGAGCAGAGGCCAAGCAGGCCTGGCTGACAGCAGGGGGCGACACTGAGAGAGCTGCCAGACAAGCTCTGAGAGACAGACTTGCCAAGGTGACAAATGCATCCCATATACCCAGAAATGTTCTTTTTGTTTAGAGATGATATCATCAGTTTTCTTTATCTTGCTCTCTCAGGTAAAGGAGTTGTGTGCATTGGGCTTCAGTGATGAGGTGCGCTGTCATGAGGTTTTGAGACAGAGTGGTGGTGAGGTGAGAGGGGCCCTGGCCGTACTGCAGCGACCCCTTCTAGAGCCCTTCCACAAGCGTATTTGGAGTGACAAACCCGAGCCTCCTGTGGACATCCATCACCCTGACAAACAGGTAAGACCAGGCATACACACTATTGAGATTACCAGTTCAAATGAATAAGTGAATTTACATAAATTGACAAAATCACAACAGCATCCAAAAAAACAAATGAAATTATATTTCTAGGGGTGATGAAAGTATTGTTTTCTGTTTTAAGAATGTGTGTCAATTTAACTGACAATTTAGTTCTTCCACTCTTGCAGAAACACAGTGAAAAAGCTCTGATAAATCCACTGTGCACTGTATCCGTTTTAGCAGAAAACAGAAGACAGACACAGTATGAGACTAGCTGGTGAACCTAGTTGCAGAATTTGGCAGCTAAAGAGGTGGAGCATATACTAGAGTGAATATTGTTGCTGATAGTTAATTGAGCCAAAAAAAATGTATGAGCATTCCTATGAAAGCTCAGTATTCACATTAAATGATGTTTAACCATTATTTGACCCTGAAGAATGGATATCAGGCCATGCCATTATAAATCTTCAGGGCCCCAAAATAAGCAACATTTTTTCCCTAACCTAAAATGCACATATAATAATTTTGCAAACTATTCTCAAACCTTAACCTATCATAACATGCATATATGAGAAGGTCCCTCCACTCTGACCTTAATACAAAGCATCCTTAAATCCTATCCCGACCCAAGCAAGGCGCTGATATACAGTAATAGTTGCATTGTATTTGATCAGGTTATACAGTGCCTGGCCAACTGATTTGGTAGGCACTCACATCTGAGAGCTAGACTTGCTCGACTGTCCAACTACTGTGACTATTCTACCAAGACTGTCAATTAACAGAAAACTACAATGGCAGCACCAGTATAAATTCTGTGGGGGTGTAAGAGTGAAGAAAAGTCTACAGGGTCATCAGGTGGACACTTTCTCAATAATTGTTTTGTTCAGATCAGTCACTGTGTTCCAGTGTCGCAGAATTATCTACGATTTGTTGAAGAATGAAGGCATTCTCTTCTATGCAATGACTGAGTTACCAGTAATGACACATGTACCAGAGCCAGATTTACACCCCTGATCAAACACAGGAGTCAAACACAGCGCTCATCCAATTGTCTTTGAGACAGTAAATGTAGACACATTGAAAGGTTTCTGGCTTCTAGTAAGAACTCCTGTCACTTCTGTTTACTCCTGTCACTTCTGTTTACTCTGGTCACATTCACATTCTGTTTACATTCAAGCTGCATCTGAACTAGATTCACGTTCAAATTCACTAGTTGAAAACGGTTCACTGAAAAGCCAGCATGCTCAGTGAATGATGCTCATTCAGCACATTTATGCACAACACTGCATTAAGCTGCTGTCTTCATGAGTTGTCCGTCCATGAGACCCAAGTGGGGTCTGTTTCCTCCTGTCAGCTCTTTACAGGGTATAATATGGGCTCCTGCTCCAGTCGTACAGGGACCGGACGGCCCTTAGCAAAGGGCCCCGGACCCCATACTCCCGGAGCACCTCCCACAGGGCGCTGCGAGGGACACGGTCGAATGCCTTCTCCAGATCCACGAAACACATGTGGACTGGTTGGGCAAACTCCCATGAACCGACCGCCACCCTGAAGAGGGTATAGAGCTGGTCCAGTGTTCCGCGGCCAGGACGAAAACCGCATTGTTCCTCCTGAATCCGAGGTTTGACTATCGGTCGAATTCTCCTATCCAGTACCCTGGCATAGACTTTCC